TTTTTTTACTACCGGTTCTGTGGGCATGGCTTGGTGGGCATGGTGTGGCTTGGTGGGCATGGCTTGGTGGGCATGGCAGGGGAAGGATACTCTAAAATCTCCATTCCCACCCCACCCCAGGGGAAGGTTACTGCAAAATCCCATTCCCTCCCCACCCCACTAACCTGCTTTCCAGCTCTGTTCTCCTGTGCAGGGCAACAGAAGACCCAGCCGATCAGCTGGGACTCGGGAGGCAGAGAATAGATGGGGTGGGGCCAGTCAGAGTCCAAACTACTCCAAACTACTCAAAATTTCCGCTACCGGTTCTCCGAACTACTCAAAATTTCTGCTACCGATTCTCCAGAACTGGTCAGAACCTGCTGAATACCACCTCTGTTTGGGACCCATTAGAGCATTCTGCAGTCATTTGTGATTTTTTTGGCTGGTTTCTGGCATTTTTTGCCAGTTTCCGACACCCATTCAAATTAAACCTAATAACTACAACATTAGTTAACCACCACCATGAAAAAGGGCAGAAAATTACTTCTGGTTATTTGGGTGCCTCAACTTATGACCAGATTTCCAGTCCCAGTTACGGTCGTAAGTTGAGGCCAACCTGTAAAGCTTTGAAATATCTCATATTAACAACCAATGATTGAGACATTAAAGAATATATGCTGCTGATCCAGTTCTACAGAGGAATTATTGAGTCTGTCATCTGCACCTCTATAACTGTCTGGTTTGGTTCTGCAGCCCAACAAGATAGACACAGACTTCAGAGGATAATTAGGACTGCAGAAAAAACAATTACTACCCACCTGCCTTCAGTCAAGGACCTGTATACTGCATGAGTCAAAAAGAGGGCTGTGAAAATATTTACAGACCCTTCACATCCCGGACATAAACTGTTTCAACTCCTACCCTCAAAATGACACTATAGAGCATTGCACACCAGAACAACTAGACACAAGAACAGTTTTTCCCCAAATGCCATCATTCTGCTAAACAAATAATTCCCTCAACTGTCCAACTATTTACAAAGTCTGCACTACTAGTACTGTTAACCTTCTCATCACTCCTTATAACCCATCCCCTCCCACTTGTAACTGTATGACTGTAACTTTGTCACTTGTATCCTTACAATTTATATTGACTGTTTCCTAGTATGATTTGGTTGCTTATTGTACCCTATGGCTATCATTAAGTGTTGTACCTTATGATTCTTGACTCTTGATGAATGTATCTTTTCTTTTATGTACACTGAGAGCATTTGCACCAAGACAAATTCCTTGTGTGTCCAATCACACTTTTCCAATAAAGAATCCTATTCTATATGAAATATGCAATAGCTTGCAGCTACAATACGAGCAGCTATATAAATATTTCAAGTAAAATAAATAAAAGCTATATAAGTATTTCAAGTAAAATAAATTAATTTTTCATGTTTATTGGATGGTATCAAAATATAAGCTTTTGATTAATCAATTTTATGGAAAAATATATTGAAAGTATACACATTTTTAATATTGAATATTAAAATAATGGAAGGGATGTATATCTGAAACAATCCTATGGCTTAAAATTTGTGATTTTGAATCCTATACTAAAACCTAAGAATTTATCATGAAGGGAGGGAAACTGCACAGTTATTGAGCAAAGGTGTAGGAAAAAGTATACCACAGTAGCTTATAACAAACAGTGATAATTTGCAGTATCTTGGGTTAATGGTCATGCATTCATACTGTTTATGAATTTACTCTTTATCAAAGTAATGAGAAGTCTGAACAATATGGCTCTATGTGGCCAAGGTTTCATGGTGCATATAACTATAAATCTATAGACTTTTTTTGCCAAATATATGCTTGTGTGTGTTCATATAAATAGCTGTACAAGCCAGTGAGAATATTGCATGTTAACAAGGGATGCCAAAAGACCAAATGGCACTGCCTTGCAGGAAAAACATCATAACAAGATGAAAAACCAAATTAGTTCCATTTCTGATCAGAGGAGTAAATTCTCCTTGCTAGAAAGTACATTTGGTTCCACAAGTTGATTTCCTCAGTCTGAGAAAACATAAAGGAGCATTTCTTGGCTTCATCCCTTAGTTGGAGGCCAAGAGTTGCCGAGTTCTACATATCCAAGTTGAATTAAGCCTGGTCTGAGGGATCGTACGGTACTTATACCTTCTGTTGTTTGAGAATGATTTCTTTAAAAAATGAGGGTTAAATCTAAAAACAAAAACCCACCATAAAATTAAAAAAAAAGTTCTTTCAACAAAAGATTTGAAGTAAGCAAGATGCAGAAGCTGGATAAAAGCATGTAAGCTTGCATTTATTTAAACAGTTTTAAAGGCACATTTAAAGTATGGTTTCAACTTCTCAGCAGAATTTGGGTTTTCTTTTTCTGTTTCTTGAACCTCTTCTCATGAACAGGTACTCTTATAGGCAATTTGTATATCCTTGTCCTTGTCTCTGTAAGGGAAAAATCAAACACATTGTTAGGTTATGCTAGCATGTATTGGAGTAGGTACTGTAAAGAAGTACTACTGTAGTTATCTCTTTTCTTTCATTGCTATCAGGAGATTAATAGGCTTTTCATAGGAGATAAAACTAGCTTTGCAATCAAATTTTGATATATTCTTTATGTTCCTCCAGAAAGCAAAAAATAGGCAATTATTTTCCTTTCCTCCCCAAATTAGATTTGTATTTCTTAAAAGTGCTTTATGTTAGATGCTTTCATAATCGTTTCTGTGATTACATTGCTCAATCAGTTCAAAAATTATGCAGCAGAAAGATTGTGAGGGTTTCTAAGGAGAAAACTGAGAACATATTCAGTTGGATAATTTTCACATAGGACCAGAGAATTCTGAGTGGGAACGTGGAGACAGAATAAATTTGGCAAGTGGGATCAACAATCTATGGAAACACTATTGCCTGATATTAGAATTGCAAATTGGATTGGAAATTGATATAAATTACCTAATAATTTATAGTGATCCTACTATCAATGACCTGTTTGATCTACACTGTAAAAACACAAATCTTCATTTGTGAAGATTGCATTGTTTGAATATCCACCCCCCCAAAAAAGTCAAACATTATTAAAATGTAAAGACCCCTGTAAGAAAGAAAGAAAGAAAACAAAAGAATGGCTATTTCCAGGAGTATCTAACTATCTAGTATCTAAATATCTAACTCTTGGAAATAGCCAATATTGTATACTATCGAGAAATAACTGGTTTTGCAATTTTGTGACTCTCTCCTGTCTATGAATGTCGGTCAGATGTTACATTCTTCCAGAGTGGAAGAATCATTGACTTCCCAATAGGTTTTCAGAGGGGCTGAGAGATAGGAAGTTGAAATGAAGTGAGTGCTTAAGCACAGGTGCCCCAATCGAATCTTATAAAGCTCATGCCACCTTACATAAATAATTATCTTCTAGTTTCAAATTACCTGTTTGTCATACAAAGCATACATTCATTTGCATATGTTTCTCCATCAGTTCCGCAAACTGGATTAAAATTCCTTGGGCATCCAGGCAGGGCATACAAGTTACACTGGGGCTGGAAATAGACAGATATAGCACTTAGACTTAGGCATACATATACATACATACATACATACA